CCTACACACAGTCGTGATCCAGGCCCTCCAGCTTCCCGTCAGGGGGTTCCATTCCAGCCTTCCCAGTTTTAGGATTTGAGCACAGAGTGGCACAAACCACAGGGACACGACTTAGATGAGACTATTGAACCCTTCCTAGATTATCATATCATGTTGCTAATTATCATGAACAACATTCAGTATTTAAATTGGAATTGTAGATTGATCAAACTTTTATGTACTGCCATGGCACATATTCAACAGTGGAAGATTTACCACTTTCAGATAGTGATCAACAAAAGCAGCCTGTGCATTTCTGTCCAGAGACAAATAGTTTTTCCTGCCAAAATGACAAATCTTGTTGGCATTTTATCACTTTTAGATCTATGACTTTAGGTTTGTGAGTTGTATGAAAATTGTCTCAGCTGACTTAATGTTTCAGGTTGACTCAATTTAAAAAGAGGACATTTCAGCCTCACAAACTCATGTAGTTAGTTAATGATGTGCTCCTTGGCCTCGGAAGTAACAGTGCATACTGTAGGACTGGAACATGTGTTGTGTTTTTCTAATTACTGTCACAGGAGCCCTCTGGTGCTGCATGGTGGTTCTTTGTGACAAAGAAAATTAAACATTTCATTTTTGTGAATATGCTCAGAGGAGAGCACATAGTTCAAGTTCAAAGTGTTTATTTTGTCATATGCACAGTTAGGAAACGTGTTTCCCTGTACAATGAAATTCTTACTTTGCTGTCCACATGAATGCCACATACAGTATTACATAGCAGAAATTATTAAATGAACAAGTGAAGGCACAAAGAACTTGTTGCATTTACTTTTGGACAGACACAGACAGAACACTGGACCTCTGTGGACACACACCCATGCTCATACTTCCTCCAAAAGACTGAGATTTGCACCTTATAATGTTACTACACTCTTTTGCTGCTAACATGCTGCTGACCTGATTAGGTCCCATACATCCCTTTTTATTTGTTCATATTTTTATATTGACTTAGACAATTATGTGTTATGTAAATAATGTGTCTTTTAAGCCAAGAGCTGCCGGAAAAAAATTCATTGTGCTATGCATAATGACAATAAAGATTCTTGACATTTTTTGTTAAGTATTTATAATTTTTTCAGCTCAGATGGGTCTGAGCAACTAGTGTCTCATTTCACAGCAACTGTGAGGTCCTGACAGCCTTCTCTTTGGGGCTGGAGACTGAAAACAGCTGTTGTGAGTTTGGTTTCATGAGGTTTTGGATGTAATCCCAGAACTTAGATTTTTATTTTTCATAGTTTTGACATTATGCTCACTCTCCTCCTCTGCTAGTTCATCAGCATGAAATAGAAAAAATGACAGATTGTGAGTTTGGAGTTCTATATGGTCTGAGGTTACGACTAATCACTTGTTGGCTGAAACTGATTTGTTGTTTTTAGAAATGATTATTATTAAGTGCCAGCATGAGCATTTTTTTCTCCCATGAAGACAGAATAGACGACATTTTATTTCCCACTGTCAGCATTATTTGTGCCAGTGTACAAAGCTGACAGCGTAGGGGAAATAATAGCTTGGTGGTTTGGGGTGGAATGACCTCACACCAGAATGCTTTTATTCTTTCTAATTACATTAACTCCACATGCCACCTGTTTCACTCTAACATCAACCATATCATGAAATGTGCTTCTTTGGGCTCGTGTTGAATTTAGCCAACTCCTCCACAAATTCACATAAAGGGCGACTGTGGTTCAGTGGGTAGAGCTGTCGTCTCCCGACCGGCAAGTTGTGGATTCGAATCACAGTGCCTGCAGTCCACGTGTTGAAGTGTCCTCGGGCAAGACACTGAATCCCCAAGTTGCCCTTGATGGCTAGAGCCATCAGTGTGAGTTGGTGCCACAGATGGCTGCCTCGGTTCTATACTGGAAACAAATTTCTTGTGTGTGTAACATACTGTACTTGGCCAAATAAAGGTGATTATGATTATTAAAGTGTTGCAAATGCCAGAAAAAGGCTATGTTTCCCCACTTGAGACTCAGGTGATGATTTCCACTACATATCTGATCCATGGTTTGCGTTTGTGTTTGCAGAGGTGAAGGAGTACGAGCCTGCATATGGCTCTAAAGTGCGAGAGCACCCCTGTGTGGAGAGCATGAAGGACAACGTGCTGAGAGACAGAGGAAGACCTGAGATCCCAGACACCTGGCTCAGGCATCAGGTCAGATACACAACTGTACTTTATATATACATTTACTGGAGGGACAGTCACCTACACATAGGCACTTTTAAGGGATATTCATGTTTACCATTTTATATGAATAACTGGAGGGAAACCACATCAATGCTGAAAACAGTGGACAAGTGATTAGAACACGTGGTGGGGGGGGTCAGAACAAGCTTAAACACTGACATCTTGCATCCGTCGTCTATAGCACTTATCCCATAGAGGGTCGTTTTTCTGTCTCCCCCATAATTATTATGTCAGTGTTTACTCTGCTTTAGGTTCTGTTTTGGTCTCCCCAAACTCCTGAGAAAAACATCTGGCTCTTTAGCTGCTCCACTATGTTCACTAGCTAGATGCTAACGTTCTGCTGTTGGTGTTGAAGCGATAGAGTGGAGCAGATTTACCATGCTAAAAACAGCTGCCTGTTGGTAACAAGGATAATGAACATAACAGTGAGCTAAAAGAGGCTAAATGTTCCACAGAGGCCATTATTACAAGCATTACAAACATTGTATACATTGTTTGTAAAAGTACTCCTTGGTAAAAATATATACATGTAAAAATATTGATAACTGCAAGTTTACATCACAAATAAGCAGGCATTGTTATTTTAGTCTTTCAGTGACCATAGTATTAAAGGGATTATTAAAGAGATATGATTTATTGCTTGTATGGAAGAGAGCTGCTGAAGCTGCTGCCTAAACAACTGCCTTTACCTTCAGTCAATGATAAAATTATCCCTACATGCTGTGAAGTCAGTCTCATGTCCCTGCTGTCTTCCTCCCACTACAGGGTGTGGCAGTGATCTGCGCCACCATAAAGGAATGCTGGGACCACGACCCTGAGGCCCGACTTACCGCCCACTGTGTTGCCGAACGCATCTCTGAGCTGGAAGACGAGATGGACAAGCTATCCAGCCGCAGCTCCTCATCAGAGAAGATCCCTGAGGAGCTCAAGGTCCCAATAGAGGTGGAGATCCCAGAGAAGGAAGTGAAAATCACAGAGATACAAGACATCATAATTATGGACCGCTCTGTCAGTGACGAGAAGTGAGAGGAGGCACTACACCCTCCCGAAAATTTTTCAACAAGGCCACTTATTCTACTTTGATGGGAATTCTCAAAAATGATGTTCACGAGCGGAGCTCTTGCAGAATTGAAGGCAGAATGGGTTGAGTCACAGCGCTGTAAATTTTAACCCAGCAAAGACTCGCCTTAATCAGCTGAAAAAGCTAAAGAGCCCCAAAGCCAAAGTTAACTGGAAGTTTCCAAAGATGTGCACGGAGACAGTATTTCTGAAGAGCCAGAC